AAAAAAAAAGAAAGCCACCCACCCCATACTCCTGGAGCGTCCCCCACAGGGTGCCCCTGGGGACACGGTCATAAGCCTTCTCCAAATCCACAAAACACATGTGGATTGGTTGGGCAAACTCCCATGCCCCCTCCATCACCCTTGCAAGGGTATAGAGCTGGTCCACAGTTCCACAGCCAGGACGAAAACCACATTGCTCCTCCTCTATCTGAGATTCAACTATCGATCGGACCCTCCTCTCCAGTACTTTGGAGTAGACCTTTCCAGGGAGGCTGAGGAGTGTGATCCCCCTATAGTTGGAACACACCCTCAGGTCACCCTTCTTAAAGATGGGGACCACAACCCTGGTCTGCCACTCCACAGGAACTGCCCCCCGATGACCACGCAATGTTGCAGTGACGTGTCAACCATGACAGCCCTACAACATCCATAGCCTTGAGATACCCAGGACGAACCTCATCTGCTCCCGGGGCTCCGCCGCTGTGTAGTTGTTTGACTACCTCAGCAACTTCTGCCCCCGAGATTGGACAGTCCATCCCCAGGTCTCCCGGCTCTGGTTCCTCCTCGGAATGCGCATAGGTGGGATTGAGGAGCTCCTCAAAGTATTCCTTCCACCGTCCAACTATTGCCCCAGTTGACGTCAGCAGCTCCCCATCCCCACTGTAAACAGTGTGAGCGAGTTGCTGCCTTCCTCTCCTGAGGCGCCGGACAGTTTGCCAGAACCTCTTTGGTGCTGATCGATAGTCTTTCTCCATGGCCTCACCAAACTCCTCCCACGCCCGAGATTTTGCCTCGGCAACTGCCACTGCTGCACCCCACTTGGCTATCCGGTACCTGTCTGCTGCCTCCGGAGACCCACAGACCAGCCCCGCCCTGTAGGCCTCCTTCTTCAGCCTGACGGCTCCCTGAACCTCTGGTGTCCACCAGCGGGTACGGGGGTTGCCACCACGACTGGCACAGGCCAACTTGCGACCACAGCTAGCAACAGCCGCCTCAACAATCGCAGAACGAAACAAGGCCCACTTGGAGTCGATGTCCCCCACTGCTCTCAGGACGCTGTCAAAGCTCTGCCAGAGGTGGGAGTTGAAGACCGTCTTGACAGGTTCTTCTGCCAGGTGTTCCCAGCATACCCTCACTATGCGTTTAGGTCTGCCAGGTCTATGCGGCATCTACCCCTGCCATCTGATCCAACTCACCACCAGGTGGTGATCAGTTGACAGCTCCGCTCCTCTCTTCACTCGGGTGTCCAAAACATACAGCCGCAGGTCAGATGATACGACTACAAAGTCTATCATCGACCTGCGACCTAGGCTGCCCTGGTACCAAGTGTACCGGTGGGCATCCTTATGTTTGAACATGGTGTTCGTTATGGCCAAACTGCGGCTTGCACAGAAGTCCAATAACGAAACACCACTCGAGTTCAGATCAGGTGGGCCGTTCCTCCCAGTCACACCCCTCCAGGTCAAGCTGTCATTGCCCAGGTGAGCATTGAAGTCCCCCAACAGGATAATGGAGTCCCCTGATGGAGCACTATCTAGCCCTCGTCCCAGGGACTCCAAAAAGGTTGGTACTCTGAACTGATATTTGGCCCATAAGTACAAACAACAGTCAGGACCCGTTCCCCGACCCGAAGGCGCAGGAAAGCTACCCTCTGGTCCCCCGCGGTAAACCCCAACACACAGGCAGAGTCTTGGGGCTAACAAAAAGCCAACCCCAGCCCTCCACCTCTCACCCGGAGCAACTCCAGCAAAGGAGAGTGTCCAACCCCTCGCAAGGACTTGGGTTCCAGAGCCAATGCTATGTGTCAAGGTGAGTCCGACTATATCTAGCCGGTACCGCTCAACCTCTGCCACAAGCTCCTGCTCCTTCCCTGCCAGCTAGGTGACGTTCCATGTCCCAAAATCCAGTTTTCTTGTCCGGGGGTCGGACCGCCAAGGCTCCCGCCTTGGTCTGCCACCCAATCCACACTGCACCGGACCCTTCGTGTTCCTCCTGCGGGTGGTGGGTCCACAGTTGGATGAGCCCATGTATCCGGTTCGGGCTGGGCCCGGCCGGGCCCCATGGGCGAAAGCCCGGCCACCAGGCGTTTGCTCACGGGCCCCAACCCCAGGCCTGGCTCCAGGGTGGGACACCGGTAACCCTCCGGGCCGGGTACTCCGACTCCTTGATAGTTCATCCATGAAAGATCCTCTGAACAGTTCTTTGTCTCACCCTTCACCTAAGACCAATTTGTCCTGGGAGACCCTACCAGGGGCACAAAGTGCCCCAGAAAACATAGCTCCTGGGATCATTAGGGCCCTCAAACTCCTCCACCACGATAAGGTGACGGTTCAAGGAGGACTTTTGTTATTAAGCAAATACTAATTTTCCACCATAGTCAGCAAATAAGTGGTTTCTTTCTCATTATGTCTCTCACAGCTGAGGTACACCTCTGAGGGAAACGCCACGCCTCTCTCACCTTTTTAAGCGGGAGATCTTGCACACTCGGAGGCTGACTAAA